CCACTTCAAAGTAACTGAATTTGAGAAGATGAACTTCCCTTACATTATCCCCTTCCACAAACCCATCCAAAGCAAGCTTGTAGCTTCCTTCAGCAATACACAAATTAAAGCCAACCTTTGATTTTATTACCTGTACAAGCATATTTGTGTCTAACTCTTTAAAAAAATTAAAGCCAACCTTTGAACCTGGATGGCATCGACTCCACCAAATTCAAAATTTTTATGGATTTTCGGCCATCTCTGACTAACTACGTTACCATCAGGTACACCAATTGTATTACCAGGAAGGACATACTAAAAAAAGAGTTCCCCATATAAGTGGAACTTTGATGCCCCAGGAACCATCTTTGGAGAAAAGTAATACTTAAACTTTTGAAAGACACGGCTTGTTGGCACCACAGTCCACAGGCATGGATTTACACACCAGCTTTTCCTTCTGCAAGAACTGTTATGTAAAGTTCTTTCCTTAATCAATCTGGGATTGTAGAAGTCCTAGAATTCTCCATATTTACTTTGCTTACCCTTTTAAGTGTCTCCTTCCTCCAACTTGTTCACCGTCCCTTTGTCTGTGCCAATCTTATATCCAACTCTTTCTACACTTGGAAGCTAATGTTTGCCCATATGAATAGACATCTGTGCATGATGAAACTACCAATTTGGGAGCTAATAACATATTTGTAGTCTCCCATCAGACCAAACACTAATTTAAAACTCCCCATACCCCCTCTCACCAAAGAAATAAGAAATGAAGAGGTCAAAGTAGAATTTATCAACGAGACGCAAGTGTGCTGAAGTTCATAGGTGGACATATACATCCATAGATAGATATCACATTACTAGACGGATGTTATTTTTCATAAATATGATGCATCAGTGATTTGGTCAAGTACTCAAGTTACCAGGATCTGGCCCCAGTTGGGAAGTAACTGAATTCCATATCAGCCGAAATCTGTGCTCATGTCATAATTAAACTTATGAAGGACGTTAAAACCTAAATTATTAAGTGCTTAAAAAAATTATCTAGTCACATACTTGCAAATATGTTGACATGCCTCTCCGGACAAATCTGCTCTGCTCCAGGAAGTTCTTCATATGCAGTGTCATCAAAAGATTCACTTCGAAGTGGGGAGTAGCCGGGATAAGGATCCATATTAGGAATATAAAACAGCAGCAACAATCCAAACAATACCTACACATAAGAAACAATAAGACTGGACTCCGCTTAATCCTTTACTTAAAAGTTAAAACCATGCGATCCAATAATTCCCTCATAAGAATGTGCCCTTAACTTCAAGAGTGCAAATTGGCAATCAAATATTGAGTCAATCCCATGCTTAAAAAATGACTACACTATCTTACTAATGAAAAGTTGAATTATCTATTTAGCCTCAGGGATAGACACAGCGCACTCCAAACATAGAGTGCCTACATGGAATGATGGATTTGTCTCCTCTAGTTTTCAACTAAGTTGCTCCAACACGGGTGAGGGTGTTCGACACGGGTGCATATCTAGAGGTCGGATCCTTCTAGATGTAAATCCTAAGATTCGGAGATACGGATCGTAGCACGGATACGGGTGCGGGGATCCAGCTAAAAATAATTTAAAAACATAAAAATATCTCTAAATTATGAGAAGTTTTGTGTAAATGATTGATTTCTTAGATAAAATATGCTATTTCCTTCAAATTTACTCTAGTTTTGGTTCTGATTTCGGGAATCAAATTGTATCTCGTCTCGAATTTTTCTGTATGTAGTGGTCAAAGTACCCAAAATTGTTTAACCAGATCCGGTATGGATCCCATACCCACACCCATACTAGTATCGTGTCGACACGGGTGCGGCACCTAAACTGCCATGTCGGAGCAACTTAGGTTTCAAGCTTCATTCAATTCAATCTTCATAATATTTTGATCCAGGTTTGTGTAAAGAGAATTCATAAATTGGGCTTCAATTCAATGGCATCATTCTGTGAAGTCTTGGTAATTTCAAGCATAAATTCAAATTAATCGAGAACAATTTTTTATTATTTAATAGTTTAGAATGACAACAAGTGTCAATTTATATCAAAAGTAGGGAACGAGACCTAAAACAGTCTCACAAGAATTGGTAACTAAACAGTCACTGCATGGTTTGGGACAATATATTGGCAATGCTGATAAGGAATATCAAGGAACACCGATTAGTCAACATATACCCCACATCCAATATACCATCCATTTCATTTTATGTGTCTTAGTTTGACTAGGCACGAAATTTAAGAATGCAAAGAATATTTTTGAAACTTGTGGTCTTAACGAAAAGTGTGTTTAACATACCAAAATTATCCTTTGAATCTTGGTCCTAGACATGTCATGTCATTCCTATAAATCATTAAGGGTAAAATGGGAATGTTGGAATAAAAAGTTAACAAATATAAAAATGTGGCGTTCTTTTTGAAACAAATCAAAAAGAAAAGACTCAAAAATTGTAAGCGATAACAATTTTAAATTTGGCACATCAAACTTCAGAATTTGACTATGTAAAAAGATGTATAGTTTGTGAAATTACACACAATTGTAGCATGAGTAGAATGTCTGCTACTCATTGCTTATAACCAACTTCAAGGGGGAAAAAACTTTACTTTGATAGTATTGGGACCTTCTGGTGACACCATAAAGGAGTTGTATTGCAAGTCACATATTTTATTCTCTCATGCTCTTGGTCCTATTTGATGAACTTGTGTTTTATTTCCCTTTTAAGTAAATTTATCACAACACACCAAGAAAAGCTTTAATTCTGAGGGAAAAATAACTGCTAATGTACTCACAGATTCCAAATTTTCCTATTTCACCAGTAATACCAAAACCATTCACAAAAATGGAGTTTCTTCACTATGCAACTATTTACTTTTAACACAAAGACCAGAAAAGGACTAACCCTACCATCTTTTCGAATTCAGGAATATTTCATGAACTATAAACACAGGAAGTAATAAAAATTTCTCTGTTCTGGGAAAATTCCAGAAGCATGAAATACAAAGAAAATTGTGAAATGAAAGAAGATAAAAGTAAGTTAGATTAAGACTCCAATAAGGTAAAGCAACTTTTGCTCCACGGTGAGTTCCAAACTCCAGTCCAATCATTAAGCTTACTTTCCCTTGTTTTTATTCCAAGGTCGGATTCGGGTAGGTAGCTCGAACATAAAGTTATTGTCGGAATGGTGGGAATTATTGTAGAACCAGGACTTAAAGATAAAGTTATAAGAGGTAAAACGAGTTGGGAATATGACTATTGCATTATGGCTTGTACGAGAAAGGAGACAATCAATGTAATTAGTGCATATGCTCCACAAATACGCTCAAGTAACATTTCTTGACTATTCACATGATATGAACTCTAGAGCACATGAAAGATGAGAAAGCAACAAACCTGGACAGCAACCTCACTGATGTACAAATACAGTACTGATCTGCAGATAAAGATAACAGCTTTGATTAGCAAGAAAAGAGAAAGATGTGAATGAGATTGTTCAAACGGGTGAGTATATCTGTTCATATCAGAATTTTAAGAGCTTTAAAACTCAAATCTACAAAGAAAATAATGACCCCTGATATGCCACCTAAACATCAACCGGAAACAGCAGGCATTGAGCCATTGACTAGTGATATTGCTCAGCTCCCACTATTTTTTAGCTTGTACCCATAAAGACCTTCATCAGAACTAGAGCAGCAGCTTATATTCAGGACTTGTTCTTTTTTATTTTCCTTTTCCGTGAAGGAATTATTGTTGACAAGCAGGGACCATCCTCAACTCACAATGAGATTTTACTTATACTTTTAATTATTTCCCCTATTCTTCTTTTTTTTCTTTTTTCTTTTTTCTTTTTGGTGTTAGGGGTTTCTGTGTGGGGGGTTGGGGATAAAATCATAGCCCATGAATGAGAAAATATACTCATGGGTGACTCAGAAGATTTTGCTAAGGATGCAGTTATAACTCTAANATCACCACGTCCCCTACCAAACTGTATATTACTCCAAACCGAACAGACCACCTGGCCTCACGGATATATACCTTCGTCTCGAGAACAATCATCACCAGCATAGAGCACCAAGCAAGAGCCTCGATAGTCAAAGAAATTATCTGAAGAATGATAATATGGCAAGAAGTTAGAAGTGGCAAAATTCACACATAGATATCTGTATACGTCCCCTCTGATAGAAAATCTATTTATCTAGGTACTAGCATACCGGACTCATACCCTTAAAGGAATTTTAAAATTCATAATATTAGCTTCACAAGCCGCATATTTAATCTAAGCACACACTATATCATAGAAAGAGACCTACCTCATATGGGGCAAGACCAGGTTGTCCATCTACATTCAAGGCTGACATTCCCATGACCAATCTAAACAAAGGTTCAGCAGTGCAATAAGCAGCTAACAGACCCAGCATGTAGTTATAGTAATTTGACCTCAAGCGGAACCTTTGGACTGAGAGGTCTTTTGTCATTTTCCATAGTCGGTATAAGCACAAGGCTAAAAGGACTAGATGACAAACAGAGATAACCAGAGTGTTTGTTCCGCATGGGGTATAAGCACCAAAGGCATTTTCGACAGCCTTTGACCACACACCGTTTGCCACTGGTTGGCAGTACCAATCCAATGGCTTGAAAACCATTGTTAATGATACCCCGTGTAACCCTCTACAAGCCCAATACTTTCTCGTACTCTGCCTCTCCTTCAAATGAAAATCATGTACCTCTGCATCACCTCTGTATTTGGCCTGCAAGAATATAAGCTTATTGCTCTCAGCGTATCAAGCACATTTCCCCTATTCAGAGTCATGAAATAATTTGACAATGATAAGTGCAGTATAAATTTTTCAGCTTTATTTGCAAGATATAGGTCAACTCATTAACATGAGCGAATGCAGAGTTCAGGCAGCAGGTAGGTTCACGCCCAGTCCACTGCATTCGGCTATAATTACGCATATGCAGTTGAAAATTTTTTGTACAACTTATATACTTAAACTGGATTTGTACCAATTGCTAGAGAGTTGTGATGGGTATCATGTACTCCGCACCCACCTAGTTAAAATCTTGAATACACCTCTAGTCATTAATTAGTTGCTCCCTGAGTATATCTTTCAACGAAGATCAACCTTTCCCAATACAAACCTAACATGAGAAGTTAATTCATGAATTATATTTGTCTATATCTTTTCGTTTTCCACACAAATAGGAATCTCACAACATCAATTTATTTTCAGCATTTAACATCACTTGGGGAAAAAAAAAATAGGCTAGATTGAAATGTACAGACTTAAAAAGAAAATGCAGAAGTCAACTGATTCGTAATTGTAACCTCAAAGCAACACAAATAAAAGTTCAAAGGATCCGTAAATGCAAATAAATAAAAAATCCTCCCAGTAGTGTAGTTACCTACTAGCTTCTAAGCAATAGAAAACAGTTTACAGTACAATTAGCATAATCACACATGTGTGGCCGAGTGGTCAATAGAAAACAGTTTCCCGTCAAAGGCAAAAAACAGGGAGTAATTTCTTTCCATTTGCCTTGGTAGAGAGTTACCCGGTACCTATGCGGGTGGGAGGTGGCAGGTACCGGGTGAAATAGTGGAGGTGCGCACAAGCTGGCTCGAACACCATCATCGTTAAAAACAAAACTAAAAGGCATAATCACGCATACCGTAAATCACCTTAAAATATGAATCCAGCAAAAGGACAATTTCTGAAATGGGAACTACATAAGTCATAACATCTATATTTCTAGAAAAAAGGTAAAAGATTAAGCTAGATTTGAAGTCTTGGGAAGGAAATGTAGAAGTCAACCTCTTCAGAAATATCAATCACAAAAAAGCACAGCAAATTTCTATATTATTCAAGTCCAAAAGATCAACCAAAATCATCCCAGAAGCGGCTACTCAGCCATAGTTAATAATACAATTAACATAAGTAATAAACTGATATTAGATTACCTCAAAAAATGAACCAAACAAAAGTATACTTTTTGAAACTTCTTCACAGAGAAATCAGTTAAAAAAAAAAACTTACCAAAGAAATAGGAAAAATAAAGTAACCAGATTTGTAGGAAAAGATAGCGTCAAACAAAACGGCGAGTGGAAGAGAAAAAGAGATACCTTTTGGATGCTTTCTGCGGAGAGGACGAGAGCGAAAAAGTGTTTAGATTCTATGCAAACTTTATATATTATTCGGTGTTCAGTGTTGTCTCATGATAGAATAATGATTTGTGGATCCAAATAAATTTTGGAATTTAAAAAATAAAATTAATAAATAAAAAAATACTCCACTAGTTGTAGCAGTAGTAGTATAATTTTGAAAGTGGAAAAATGGAGCTTCGTCAGCGATGACGATAATTTTCTGAAAAATTGGAGGAGAAAAGTCAAAATTACTTTATAGGAGGCTAATTCAGCGAAATTGTTTGGTGAAGGCTGAAGAATATAAAAAGGAAATATTTAAAGGATAATTTAGAGGGTGTTTTGGGTAAGCAGTGAGGTCTTGTTAGATTTATAAGTAGGCGTTTGGACATTAATATTATAATTTTTGAGAAAAAAATTAGTATTTGAAGTTAAATAAAAAAATAATATTTAAAATTTAAAATTATGTTTATACATGCATTTCACTTGAAAAAATGTTACAGTTTTGTGAGTGGGGCAAAAAATTCTAGAAATTTAGAAAAAGTGGTCAAAACTACTTTTTCGTCCTTGAAAAACTCATTTTCCAAAAATTTCTAAGAACTTGCAACACAAACATATTTTTTAAGAAAAATTTAAAAAAATATGGACAAACGGAGTCTAAGTACTTTTCTGGTTTAATTATGGGTTTGCTAAACACTAAAAGCTTTTAATAAGAAAATCAGTTGAAAGTAATAAGTTGACCATTTTTAATTAACTTATATTTTTTTTAGTATATAAGCACATTTGTCCTTTCCCGGCAAGGATATTTTTAAACGTATACCTTATCTAAATAGTTTTAAGAATATTCAATCATTTTAGTAATACTAGTCTTACGATACGCGCGTTACGCGTGTACCTTATCTAAATAAATAATATATCTTTAAATAATTATGCAAATATTTTATTAAAATTATGTCTGAGTTATCATAAATAAAAGTGTAAGTTTGTAAAATTGAGAAATATTAATTCTGTGTACCTAACTGAATAAAGGGAAGAAATTACTATATAAAAATTATCAATCATCGGCATATTAAAAGTATAAGCCAATATATAAATACTGAAAATGTTTAAAAGAAATCAAGCGATCATCATTTATAAAAATAATATTTTTTTCAAAAAATTTTGTTGTTGATGGAGGGGGGTGTAATTCCTAGTTTTTTATTTTCTTAAATCTTATATTTTCTATCATGAAGTTTTATCTCTAGATTATTCATCAAAAGTTTTTCAATTTTAGTGAACATGTTCATATGATAAATATGGAAAATTATTTAAATCTTATATTTTCTATCATGAAGTTTTATCTCTAGATTACCCATCAATAGTTTTTCAATTTTAGTGAACATCTTCATATGATAAATATGAAAAATTATTTTTTCATAAAATATATTTTTAAATATATCTAATTGAGTGGATAAAAGCTTAAATTTTTGTATATCTGTAAATTTATAGGCTTTCAATATTATTTATTTAGCCTCCTTTCTATCTCTTTATTTTAAAAAAATGGGTCAAAATTGTAATCCATAGACGTGTCTATGGATCCACGCAAGATAATATATTATTTTTTCCGACATTTTTACATTCCTATATACTATATCAAACTATATTACCCTCTCTACTCAAGTTTTACTATAATTGCATTTTATATATCCAATTATAATTTATGTACATTTTAAGAGAATTAATAATAATAATAATAATTAGTGTCCTAAAATTACTCTAACATATATTCCCTCCCCCACGTTTTTCTCTTCACATCCCATCTCCCTCTCCCAGGTATCTTGCACCCACCCACGATACCACCATTGACAACCATTAAAAAGCTTTGAAGCTTTGAATTCCAATTTGGATTTTCAAAAAATACTATTTCCGAATCCGTTATTGCTCACCGTGAAGTTTTGCGGTATATTCTATGCAGTCAAGGAATTAGAAAAACAAAAATTATAAAAAAAAAAAAAAAAGAGAGAGAGAGATTTAAAAAAAAATGTGTAATAGAATTGCATTGAAGAACACATATTCCGATGAAATGGAGATAAGAGAAAAAGTAGAACGGGAAAAGAAAAAGAAAACAAAAAAAAATGAAAAGAAATTAGCAAATGCTTTCGTTAATCTAAATCCTGAAACATTGGCCATGGGTATACATTAGCAAAAGCTCTATAATATTATTGAACTGCAAACAACAATTGTTGGTTTTTCCTTATAGTTAGATTAAAAAGATTAAAGAGATAAATAAAAGTAATTCCTATAGGATGTAGAGCAAAATTGACGACTTGAATTAGTGAAGTGCATACAACTGCGGTATTAAGAAATTGTATGTTTAAATTCACTTCTATGCAAGATCTATAGCTTCGATATGGAGAGAAAGAGAAAAGAGGGGAGAGAGAAGAGGAAAAAAGAAAAAGGGTGTAACTAAATCCCTTGATTGAAGACACAAATAATGAATTGGGAGTATTTTAAGGTGGATTGTATATATTTTATAAACAAAACTTGTTTATGCCGAGTAATTAACTAAACATGGACATTTGTATATGATTGAAAAATCCTTTTTTCATTGATTTCAATTGACCTAACACGTGATATTTAAATAACTTTGTTTAACTTCAAAATATGTGTGGAGAAAAGGGACTCATGAATCGAAAAGGACTCAAATTTGGGCGAAGGTTATAATGTAATTTTCAGGTGTTATTATCTTTCCTTTATAAATTTATTATATTACATAGTTCAAATAAAAAAAAGATTTATAATACAAAAGTTAGTTGATTTTGAATTCCTAAATATTCGGAAAATAATGAACTGTTCTTTCCTAAATATTAGGAGATTAATTAAATTACTATTTTGTCTGGTGTGAATGTAATTAAGACGAACGACATTTCGATAAGGACTTCGTGCTTTTAATATAGTATAGGTTAAAAAAAGTACTTATTAGTGTTTTTTCTTGTAAGAGGGGAAATTCACAGCCGTTATAACCTTTGCCACAGCCTCTGCCCTTCAGGTGAGCACTTTATGCGCACTAGGTAAACCTCTCCTTGTGTAATAGCCTGCAAACTACACAAAAAATGTAGACCGCACTAGGCAAGCTCTGTGCGACAGGCTCAACCCAGAAAATATTGGG